GGGATGCTATGTCTGTGTTTTTCGGGCTTGGACCCCCCGGAGGCGGCCTCCAGTTGGTTCGAAGCGGCGAAGAAGGCCCCGCGCGAGGCCCATGGCGTCCAGGACCCCATGTGCTTGGGAAGGGCCAAAGGCTGCCAGTTGAAAGCTCGCGCTGCTGCAAGCTGCCTGGGGCCGAGAGGTTCATTCGCGTTCGAACTTAAATGCTCAGAGGTGGCTTTAGTATCGCCGCCTAGCCATTCCGTCTCTGAAAGGGAAGGGGGGCCCGCCCCGCCTTGGAGCTGCAGCCCAGCCGTTGGAGGCCTTGTTCGCGACTGCCGAGGTGCATTTCTAAGGGGTCCCACGCTGGGCGCCTTCTTTGCTCGGCTTGAGGCCGAGGACACCAGGGAGCTCTCGCGTCGATTTCGCCCAGGACGAAGCTACTCGCAGGGTGAAGCAGGAGGCCGCGGAAGGCTGCGCAACGCGGAGGCTTAGGGCCCAGGCATCGGTTCTCGGGTCGTTCACAGGTTTACCAAGGGCCCCGTTCCTCCGCCCCTGCCGATTTTTGTGGGCGAGGAGGGGAGGGGGATCTGCCGGGGGACCCCGCCCCACAGGTCGGCCAGGAGGCTCTCGACCAGACTTTGAAGGACTGGGCGCCAATCTGGCGCAAGCGGCCCCGGGGGGGGACGCGCATCCGAGTGGCTGGGCCGTCGAGGGCTCACCCGATCCCATCTCGGCGGGGATGGCGCTAGGAGCAGCGCCCGCGTTCAGCCCCTCAACGAGCCTGGGCCGGGACGAATTCAGCCCGCGTTTGTTGCTCCACCTGCCCCTGCCGCGGGTCGAGGCGCTCGCCTTGATCGCGTCGGCGTGGGAGCGACGGCCGAGCTCTGGAGCCATGTGGCTGGCGCTGGTTTGGCTGTTTTTCTCGACAAGCCATGTGGGGGCGTTCGCCCCATAGGGCGGCTTCCCTTGCTTTCCCGAGTGTGGGGCAGGATCCGTCGCAGGCTCTGCCCTCGCTGGGAGCGCGCGGTTGGCTGTCGGTTCTTCTGGGGGGCGGATTCCAGCCCATCCTGTGATGAGAGCGCATGGGCCCACGACGCGTTGGCCGCGTATGCTCGCGCGTCCCCGGGATTTGAGACGGCACGCCTCTGTCTTCAATTCAGGACATCTTGCGAGCACATCTCCCATTTGGCGTTGCTCGATGTGACCCGACACGCTGAATTCCCTCTGCCTTGGCCCTGTGCAGATTGCGCATTGCATCGAACGCCTCGTAGAGCGACTTGGCAAGGAGTGACCAGCCGCATCATCTATCCGAATGGGATTGTTGGGGCTGGGCGTTCTGGAACGACGACGCTGGCGCGGCTCCTCCCGTTGGCGAGCTCGCGCCGCGCAGCAACGCCCAGCCCGACAGTTTGGGTCAAGAGTGTGATCGATGATGCGCCGATGAATGCCGTCGGCGGGGTGCAAGTCGTTCGCAGGGAGCTAAGTCGTGCTGCTCAGTCTTCAGTTTCGGATATGGCGGGCATGGATTTGCCCATCGCCTGGGATAAGGTTGGCCTTTTAGCTTCTTCTAAGCAGCTGGCGGATGGCGTGCTAGGGGACTGCCAGCTGCCCAGCCAATCGAGAGGCCAGGTGCGAAGAAATCTAAGGGGAGATGCGACTGACGCTAGTAGGCGCAGGTCTCCTCCCATCCATCAGGATCGGTGCCTGAAGCCCTCCGAAAGTTTTCAAGGTGCGTGCCCTTCGGGACGCTGGGGCCAAGGTCGGGGATGCGGTCAGAGCTGGGGTCTCAGCCAGGGCCCTCTGGGGGGCTGACATCCAGGGGCTACCGGATTGCAAGCTCAAGTAGCTGCGAGTTGCCGCGCTTCGCGCTGAGGGCCGCTTGCCCAGGGGCTGCTCGCTCGAGTCGGCGTCGATGCGTTCGAGGGGCGGCTGGGTTCGAGATCCCCTGGTGTTGGCGACCTCAGATGCGAGGGAGACTTGTGTTCAGATTTTTGCAGGAGCGCCTGCTCTCAGATGCGGTGCTCACGTCTTTCTGCAGCGGGTTCCGAAACGGCCGCCAATAATACAGTCGGGGCCCTGAAGAAGAAACCCTTTTCGTTGGGGAGGGTCTCGGTGTTCCTTGACTGTTTTACAGTTTGCCTCGGGTTCCCCTTAGGTTTTTGTATGGGAAATCGAAGTTTAGCTTATGGAAAAGAGGGACCTCGTTCCTTATTCAGGGTTCCTTAGGTCAACGCCCCGACTGTATGCCGCGGGCACAGGTGCAGGACGCCATGGCTGCCCTGATCCTGACCTTGAAGCGTGCAAGGTCGCTGAAGATGAGGAGGCCCAGGAGGGCACTGGTGGGACAGGGGGGTTCAGGGGGACAGCGGGCCTTGAGAGGCCTGGACATAGGCTCGCACTGGCGCCAGCATCGGTTGCACCAGCACGACCCCCAGTTTTCGAATGCGCCCCTGATCTCTGTCAGCTTCTCGCTCGCCGCCCTCGGGGCTCTGCGCGGGAGTTCGCGGTTGAGGGGGCGGGTGCACCGCTGATGCTATAAGGAGCCCACGTTGTTTGTGATGGATCTAGCTTAGATGGCCCGTTCCCCTCCATCCGCGTGGCGGGATGGGGGATTTATGTCCATGGTCAGGACAGGCGTTTTCTTGCAGGCTGGCATTTGGCGGCGCCACCCTTTCTCCGCCCTGATCAGGTTGCCAGATGCGGTGAAAATTGCGAAGGCCTTACGGCCAGTGCCGCCAACCCTGAGAACGACGAAGATAAAAACGACGGGGGGGAAACAGGGGGAGGCGGATGAGTGGTAGGTGGAGGAAGGGTGGAGGAGGTGGATGAGGGAGGAGGAGGGGCGAGAAGGATGTGGAGGAGAAGCAAGAGGAGGAGAAGGAGGCAGAGGAGAGCAGGAGGAGGGGGAACAGAGGGGAGGGGGAGGAGGAGGAAGATGAGGAGGCCTGAGGCTTTCTTGGGACAGCCTGGGGCTCTCTTGAGGCCGTCTTGGGCTGTCCAGGGCTCCTCTTGCGCCGTCTCGAGGCACTCCTGGAAGCCTCCTGGGCAATTTCGGGCTCTCCTGGGCTGTCTTGGGGCAGTTTGGGGGCCCCTTGGGAGCCTCTTGGGGCCTCTTGGGTTTTCCTCGGGGCCTCTTGAGGGCATCTTGGGGCCTCTTGGGCCGTCTTGGAGGCGTTTTGGTCCATCCTGGGGCCCTCTTCGGCCGTTAAGGGACCTTCTTGGGGGCCTCTTGGACCGTCCCGGGGCGATTTTGGGGACCTCTTGGGCCGTCTTGGCGCGTCGGAAAGCGGAAGAGGCAAGAACGCCAAAATGTTCTAAACACGTATGGGAAATCCATGATGTTGCCTCTTGGGGCTCTCGTGGGAAAGCTCCTGGAGGCCTCTTGGGGCGCTTTGCAGGCCTGTTGGACCGTCTGGAGGCCGTCAAGGCGTCTTGGACAGATCGTTCGGCGATTCGGGGTTCTTTTGGACTGTCGTTGGGGCCTCTTGGGGCACTCTCGGGCCGTCTTGGCGCTTTTTTGGGCTCCAGGACTCCCAGGGGTATCTGACCCCCCCCCGGGACCCCCTTCCTCCCCCCGGCGGGAGAGGGATCGAAGGGAAGGGGCTTCCCTTCGACTCAATTACGACGTTGCTCAACTTTGCTTTGGCTGGCGCGCTGAGGAGGTCCCTGGGGAAGGGGGGGGGATTCGACGAGCCCAGGGAATGGGGGGAGGCAGGGAAAGGGGAAGACAGAGACGACGACCAACGAATGACGGAGATGACGACTTGAACGGACACGCCCTTCACACACGCCGACAGGGCCGGCGGGTTGCCAGATGCGGTGAAGATTTTGCGATTTTGGCGGCCGCTTCCCATATTGGAGGGGAATGTACTTTCCACTCGGACTGCCAGGGCACGCTGCAGTGCGGCACCGGCTCGCGCTTTGCTCGGAGACCTGCCAACCCACGAGCGCACCTGTGGAGGCGGATCCTTCGCGACGGAGGGTCGTTCGAGCTGGCTCAGCGGAAAAAGCCAGAGCGCACTCGACCATTAATCGATGCACGAGAAGGCCGCATTTCAGAGTTTGAGAGGACGGGAAATGCTGAAGCAGATCGGCTGGCCAAGGTAGGAGCGGCCTTGAGCCGCCACGACAATCAGAGTTCGACTGGTCAAAGGCATGCTTGTGCTGGGCAGGCAACTCGTCAGGTTTGCGGCTCGGGCCGAGGTTTTTTATTCGGAGGAGGGGCGCTTCGACAACATAG